AGGATCAAAACTGTCAAAAAGGGAGAAAATAAGCCTTTTTACTACAGAAAACCTCTATAAATCTCTCACTTTAAAGATTAGAAAGACATTCAGGTACTTTACAATCAGTTTTTCTTTCTTTAGGAAGTTTCTTGCTATTGATAACAAAGGTATTACTTAACTTTTCTTGATTACTAGAAGTCAAGTTTTTGAGTAAAGAGGTTTGTAAACAATAGAAGAAGGGTAAAAGTGATTCTTGAAGTCATACTTCAAGTTGTTTTAAGGAAAGTGTTAAGACTTTATTAACAAGGAAGTATAAAAACTTCATGCAAACATTTTTTTATGTATGATCAGAGGATCAGCGAAAAGAGTTTTTTTTCTTATTTTTTTTTCTATTTTATCTTTTTGTGTTATAATATATTTATTATTACTTTGCTTGACCTTAATTCTATCTAATACTATTTTATTTCCAATTGATTAGAAAGATTATTTGTCTCTAATTGTTTCTCAAGTTATCATATCTCTATTCAGAGTGGTCTTAATATCATCTCTTTTTCAATTTTTGACATATAAATTTGAGATCTTTTATAGTATTTTGCATATCTTTTTTCAAAGATTTCCATGGCATATTAGAAATACTATATTAAATACAATAGTTCACAATTTAATGACTTGAACTATAGATACTATTATATTTTTCTATAACTAAGTTGAGTCTATAACTTATCTATTTCTTTTAATATTTCTGCTTTATTGTAAAGTCCTTTAAGTTGTATAACTTTTCTATAGCTAATGAATTCAATACTAAGTTTATAGTACTTTTTTTTTTATTAAATTGTTTTCTTTATTACCAGTTTTTTAAAGGCTACTTTATATAATAGTTTCTTGAAGATTTTTTATAACTTGTTTGCCTAATTCTTCTTTTATCTTGATTGAGTTTTTCTTGAAACAATAGTTCTAGTAACATTTTACATTTATGATCTATACTTTCATAAAAAGCTTGCTATTGTGATAGAGATATTTTCTTTATATTAATTCTCCTTTATATATTTGTAATAGGTTTTGTAACTCTATTTTTTATAAAAAGGTTTTTGTTATATAGGATTATTAAAAGTATGATATGATTACTATCTATAATATCTTCCATGTCTTGATTATCTAATTAGAGTAGTGGATAACTTGTTAGATTATAAAAAATTTAAATATAGTTTATTTTACTACTACTTGTTAAGTTTCTTCTTATTGAAGTTTTTTTTTTGTCTTCTCATATGGCTTATATATTTATAAAGTTCTATTCATCAAAAAAGTTGAATGATGGAATTTTAGGCTATCATAATGATTTGAAGTTTACTTTAAAGAAGAACTTTCTATCTTTTGATAGATTATAAACCATATTAAAATTTTTCATTACTATTGTATAAAAGTCTTGTCCCTGTTTTTTTTTTAATAAGGCTGGTTATCTTATTCTATACTATTTTATATTTTAGTTTGTCTGAAGGAATATAAATCTGTATAATACTTTTTTTTTTCATAATCATATTAGTGAAAATAATATATTTTTCTTCTTTTTTTATTAATACAATCTTTTTTTCAAATATCTTCTTATTAAAAGATTGTCTTCTGCTTCAAATGATATATCTTTATTACCATAAACCACTGCATACAATACCCCGGGTATTAACCAATTTACCTCATAATAAATTGATTAGTACCTGGGAGGGTATTCTACTAGAAGGGGGGTAGTATAAATGGCAGAATATTTGGTGTTTTATTATCATCTGATATATCTCTATAGCTTAATATACCTGGGTAGTAATCATTTATTGAGTAACAATTTTCTTGAATACTACCGGGTATTATTTAAGGGGGGGTATTGTATACAGTGGTCTATGGTAGTACCAAAATATATTTATACACTTTTTTTGCTATAAAAATATAATAAATATATTATGAAATTAAAATTAAAGTCATCTAAATTATTTTTTCTTCTTTATTTTTAACAGTTAAATCAAGCTTTATTCCTTGTCATAATTGTATCAATTTGTTGAAAATTGATAAAAACAATGATTTATTTGATATAAACTTGGTTTACTAGGACCTAGTAATATGCTTAAATCATATTTTATATAGCAAATTTGTAATAACCACATATATAACTTTAATACTACATACTTTATTATTGAATAATTAAAACTAGTAGATATTTAATACTAATTTCAAATATGAATCAATTATCTCTTTGCTAAAAAATAATAATAAATTTTTATCTTTAAAAATTTTCTAAATATTACTATTATAGATATTACATAAAAGTTCATTAATATTTGATCAATCTATTCAATATTAAAGATTAGATTCAAAATTCAAATTTTAATACAGTTATGACAATTAATATTAAATAGTAGAATATAAAAAAACAAAATTGAGCTAATTAATTATATTTCTATTTAATTATTTTGATTGTATAGATAGTGAAGAATTGCAAGTTTTTTTTCATTTTATTGGCAAATTAAAAATTCAATATAAATATACCTCATGACTAATAGTCAATTGTTTTTTTGAAAACCAAGAGCATCATTCTATTTATATAATTTATAATATCTTTAATATATCACAAAATTAATAAACTGATTTGATAATCTAAATATATTGTTGATAATATATAAAGATCCACAAAAGAACTCAAATTTTTTATTATCAATTTCATAAATTTTAGTAATAAATTTGTTATACTATTTGATAAATTAAATTAAATTCTATAGTTATAATCTACAATAAAATCTATATAAAATAACTATTCAAAAATTTGCTAGAATTTAAAAAAAATTTATATTTTGAAGTCAAATAATCTTTAAAAATATCATTTATTTCTTTATTATTAGCAACTTCAGATTTATCATTTTCTAAACTTATATTATTCAATATCAGATTTTGTTGATTGTTACTTAATGACATAATTTAACTTGCTAAAATATTTTTATTCAGTGTTAAAATGTGAATTCTTCATTTATTAAATTTTTGTTTTTTGTTTTTTGATATCTATAGAAAAATTCTATTTATGAGTCAGTAAGTAATTAACTGAATTACTATAGTTGCAAGTAATTTTCACTTTTTTAAGAGTTTTTTAAACCTTTATTAAGTTAAGCTAAAATTGAATACTTTCTTAATATTTTTAAAAATTGATAAATAGTAATATAAAGTGGCAAAGTTGTAATTAATATATTAAATAACTTTTAATTATAATATAATACAAGTATAATATGATAAATAATATATAGTATAATATAATATATAATTTTGAATTGTAATATAATATAATGAATAATAGTATAAAATTCTATGTGGTCCCAAATTATATTAAAATAATATAAATAATTTTATTTAAATAATTTTTTCAATATATATAAAATATCTGAATAAAAAAAAATCAATCAAATATACTTTTTATAAAGAATTGTTACTTTCACCTTTATAACCTTTATAATTTTTTCTACTATTCTAAACTTCTTTAGTATTAACTATATTAAAAATAGCAATAGTTCATTCAATAATATATAATACTGAATCTTTAATCCTTATTATAACAGTCAAATTGCTTAGAAGAAGACTATCTATTGTATTACCTGTAATATTAATATTTTAAGTTGTTTAAATATCAATACTAAAAGTTAAATTGCTATTCAAAATTTGAATTAAGAAGGTTATTGAAAAAATTTAGAATTAAATTATTACAAATTATTAAAATTTACTTTTATTAATTAATTTATTTATTTAGAAAACAAAGAATTATATGTGTAGATTGAAAAACTAGAAAAAAAAAATATTAAATTTGAGAAATAATTAGATCTAATAAAATATATTAATAACAAGTTTTTGAAAAATCAAAATAGCAAAAAAATGAAATAAAAGATTTAAAAAAAATCAATTGACTCAAATTTATAAAACCTGAACTTTCCTTTTTTTTTAAACCCATTCTTTTTGTAGTTTTTTGTATTCTAGTAGTTGATCAGACATATGGTAGTGACAATCTGCTAGCAATTATGCAATGGACTAGAAAAGTTTTCATCCAAAGACACTGCGGAGCAAAATATTGTCTTCAAGAACAAACTTAGAGGCTTTTATGCTTAAAATAAATTAGTTAGATTAGAATAATAGTTTAGCTATAGTATACAGTATATCATGCTGCTTGAATAAAAATGTACTTATGTTTTCAATTGATTAATAAACCAACAATCTAGCCTAACTATGGGTACTCAAAAAAAAAAAAATTAAAAAATTAAAAAATTTCTTATAAATATATAATATATTTTATTTTTAAGTAATCAAAAAATTAATAAAAAGTTAAATCAATAAATTATAAATAAGGAATCTAATGATTAAATAACCATTAAAGAAACCAGATATTATTTTCTAAGCAATATCTAAAAAAGGTAAACCTTAATGATAGATGAGTTAATATAAAAGTTATACAATTTATAAAGATTTTAAATATTATACAATAAAAGATATTAACCTGATGGTAGATAAAAAACAAAAAGCAAAAAAAAATCAATAAAAAAAGTTTTTAATTTATCTTAGAAGTTAATATATTTGATATTTTATTAATAATGGTTATACTGTATATTATTACATAAAAGTTATGAAAAAATAAAAAAGTTTAAGATCATGAAGAATTAAATAATTGATTCGCGAGAATTTTATTATTTATTTTATTTTATTTTTTTTTTTTCATAAAAAATTACAGGTGCCGAATACACAAATGCAATATTCATTAAAAATGCTGCCAATCTAATAACAGTGAAATGAATCCGGGATAAGATTTATTAGGTATGAATTATACTTCTATGTTAATGTGATGACGTTGAATTTGGATGATTGTTCAAATATAAAAATAATGATAATTCTGAATTGAGGGGGGGAACTGGTGAATACTATAAGTACATCAACAAACAATTCCCCAAAGAACATCAGCCAAAGGGGGTGCAGGGACGTGTTGAAATGAGTGTGGTTTATTAAATGTCTCAAGTGTTTTTTTCGCTAACTATGCCACAATGTCCTATTCTCCCGCGAGCAATTGGTAGCTGCATGTTGGAGAGTATTCCTGTTGTACGACCAACCGTTCGCTTCTCGAATCGTAATAGATCATAAGAATGAACAACATGCGATCTTTTACGTATAGTGACACATATGTTTCCAGGATTGTTATCTCTATTCTTTTCGCTGTCACTTCCGCCACTATCGCTATTGTTACTGTCGCATCCGCTATCACTTCTCGAACAAGCTGTGTTTGTTTTACTATCTATGTCGTTACCTTCACGATCCCGAGAAACATCTCTATAAGTGGTTGTAACTACTTCTTCAGTCAGGGGATTATCAAATGATCCAAGATCCAAGTCGCAATCGCTGTCTGGAAAATCATTCTTGTAATCATTTAATTGATTTGCATACAATAGGAATTTTAATCCCACGGCGGCTCGGCGCATGCTCGAAAGTAGAAGTTTTTGATGTTTTAATTGATAACGAGGTAACGGGTATATCATCTGCGGAGGTCGCTCCGCAGGGGAAAGTTCTGGGTCTGTGACTAGACTTGTGGGTGTGGTGGCGGCCGTATGGGTGGTTGAGGGGGAAGCGCCTGGCGACTCTTGGGATTCAGATGAGGACGAACGCGCAGAATGGTGAATATGATCGTCGAAATAGGAAATACTACCCTTTCATCAATTGGGAGTTCATAAAATGTCTGAGATAGAGTGACAATGATAGCGATCATAATAAAGGATGCTAAATCGTATGGTAAAAACATACCTCGTGTTGTCGAAACGGTGATAAATCCAGTGATTCATATTTCATAGGTGATCCAACATCACCAAAGTGTTTAATAGTGAGGCTGGCCTCCTCTATTAGACGAGCATACTCATGTATAGCTTGCAACATGTAATCTAGTTGTTCGGTGGTCCTCGTCTGACTATGGCAAATGTTGGTTACACTAGGACGCATGCATCGATGCTTGTCCAGGATCTAGATTTTAAAAATTTAGGTTAGATAAGAAAATAGACCATTTGAAATATGATCCAACATTTATGGAAAGATTACTTGCCTCATAGATCTGTTCTTGGATCCTTTTTAGATCATTGTTAATTTCCTCATTAATTTCATTCTGAACCGACTGCAACCTGTTTAATCGATGTTCATTCTCAATAATCTTTTCTTGTGTCGCCAATATACATTCTTCAACATTATCTGATGATGTAAGAATATTATTTTTTTTTTTTTTAGGGGTCTTATTAATGAAATATGTTATGATCTTGTGAATATCATCTCACCAAGCACCAGTCATAATACTAAAACTTGGAAAATTCGATTTACAAAAATCACCCTCCACTTGCCTTGTTTTCT